CCGTGATTTCTTAAAGAAATTCGGGAGGTTAATGTTGGACGTAGCGAAGAGGTACCTAGAGATATGGTAGCCATGTTGCGCCATGCCGAGAGAGTCAAAGAACTCACGTCGGGTGAAGCGGCAGCTCCCGCAGTACTTGGAAAACGGGTCGAAATCGAAAGCGTCGTAAGTGGCTTGCGCCATCTCGCCGTATCGGATCAGCTCGGACCGTAGTATAGGGTCCATGGGATCCAACATCCCGACCCAATCGTCTTCGCCATGGATCTCTCTCCATACATCAGTTAAGCGTGTTTCTTGATGATGCTGTTTACCGGCTTCTATGTATTCATCTTCTTCTAGTTTTGCTCTTCGTTCCAGTTGGAGTTCATTGATTACGGAGGAAAAGGACTCGGTCGTTTTGGAAATAACTCTGGGAATCGTAGGAGATCTGCTCGCAAACTCCATGCTTTTAGAACGTCCAATGTAAGATTTTTGTGCTGGAAAGTGATGATCATGGAGGTGGCGGTTGATGGATAGGAAGGTTTCGGATAGAGAAATGGCCATTGGAACAAGCAAGACTATGTGAAACTGGATCCAGGTGGTGCAAATATATAGAACAAGCCTTCCCAAATCCCAACACCAACTCGGTGGCCCAAATATATACACATACATACGTGGTTCATGAGGGTTCCTAATGCCGAGATTTTGGTCAATGAGTTCTGCATCTCCCAAAAGTTTGTTGAAATTATCTCAGTTAAATCATTTTTAACAAGAATTTGGTGCAGTATTATGTACAATTGATTTGGTATATTTTTATGGGAGTCTGCGACTGACTAGTGGCGGCCTGTATACTTTAAGGTGGGTGGATACTGAAATCAAAATTTTATTTACTAATATTGTAAAAATTTTAAACTTTCATTTATTAATTATTAATTTTGTTGGTTGTCCTGGGATTTATTTGTTCTCACCCATATAAAATATTTCCAGATTTACTATCCACTGTGATCTAAGTATTATTGTATAATACTACAGTAGTTGTCAAATTAAGCAGATATAAGTAATATAAATAAGAAGAGTTTATTATTATTATTATAGTTATTAATGGTACAGGTATACATATTTTAGTTTGACGCTATATTTTTACTTTCTTCTTCTTTTAAATTCAGACAACAATTGGAGTATAATTAATTGCTATCGTGGACGATTTGGGAGCCGTCTTTAATCGTCTCCATCTCATCTCTTCTTCTTCTTTTTGTTGCACTCTAGTTTCAAAGTTTCGTTCTGACTAATCTGGATCAATTCGGGTCGCACACCTGACTTTGGTGGGTGAGTCTCCCAACAAGAATTTTTTGCATATACAAGGTCTCGAACATGAGACCTTGCTTAAACGATATCAAGTTATTTACCACTTGAACCAACCCCTGATTCCATCTCTTTTATGCTGATATAATTAATATTGATAGGTGATTCGATCACTAATAATCTCTATTTTACATTTCTATAATTCTTTTTCTATATATTTGAGAATTTTTTTAATAAATTTCTTTCGGAACATATCTATTTTCTTTAGATCTAGTAGAATGCCTTGCTGGATAACCTTATTTCAAAGATATTACTTTTATTAAGAAAGTATTTTCATAAACATTTTAATTGTTTTTAATAAGGACGGTTGTTTAGATAGTATCGATTCTTCACAAAGTTTTAAATTTGAATGTATCCAGTAAATCTATTAATTTAGAGTAACATTCTTAAAAAAAAAGATCAATCATCATCATATTATTATTATTATTATTTTATCATAAAAGAAATATTAAAATCCCAAGGAAGATCATGTCATATATTTATGGCATGATTGAGCCAATTATAAAGGCAGCTAGCAACCTCACAACTCACGAACCCTGGTGTCGTATCAGAATCTAGATCTCCACCGCCAACAACCGTACGAGCTTTAAACAACATTTTTAATTATCTTCAGCAAGTCTGATTATACGTGACCTGATGTGGATGCACATTAAGCGTGACTTACCACTTTATTCTCCATATCCCAAACTAGAAGTATGTATTATCTAGTGATTGGAGTTTTTTTTAATCATAATTTTTTTAAAATATATTTTAGTTAAATACACATAATCATTTTTAATCTCAATTATAAAATTAAAAACGTTAAAAATTTTACTGAAAACATACCAAATAATTATAGCCTTCGAAACAAATAATTACCCTTGATATATATATATCTATTAAATTATTTTTCATGGTGTAAGTAATGTAAACATATAGCCTCAATCTTGTTACAAAGTAAATAACGTAAGTTATTTTTCATGGTGTAACTTTGAGGTAATTCTTTGCTGAGTTTATTCCTTCTTAATTGGAATTAGGGAGATAAATATATTCAAGACAAATGTATAACATGTCGTAGTCCCACGTTTATGAAGGTCATTAGTTTCTAGGTACATTCATTTATTATGAATTTGACTAAATGTTATTTATATATGATTTTTTTTTTTTGTATATTTCCTTATTCTATCAAACATTCTTTTGGAAAAAGTGTTAATGATTCCCTAACAAATCTTACAAGAACAATTTTTGATTGTTTGGTTTCATGTCGAACATCCCAACATGTAGGATAAACGTGGTGGACTAACCATAGATATGAACTTATGACGAAGAATGGGCGGATTTGTGTGTAGAGTTTCCCCTTCGGAAGCCTCTTGCGAGTAGAAGTTGGGGTGGAAAGAAAAGGCCAAACCCAATAATTGCAGGAACAGCAGCAGATGGCCTTATTATGAATCTTAGAAATCAAAACTCCTCACTTGTGGTTGGGTGATATGCCATTAATGTTGGCATAAAGCTGGTATCTAATGTACTAACAGGTTGGTCTAGTTTAATGAGACATTAGATCATTTAAACAAGGTCAGGAGTTTGAATCCTAATGATTACGAATGGAGTAAACTGGGTTGGAAGGGTCATCATTGCCTCTGTAGTACCTGATCCAAATTAGTTTATTAATAGATTAGATACAAGTGATTATAAAAAAAAAAGTTGGTTCCTAATGCTTATCCTGCAAATTCAATTTCCATTTGAGTGGATTAAGAAATGAAAGATCATACCCCACTCGGCCAATTTCATCGTCTGCAACAATTCAGAGCACAAGTTAGTTCTGGCATAACTGTTACATTGTAGGGTCTAAATTGATGGTATGAAAACTCAGTACTGCTATAATAATCAACGCTCTGTTTCCCTTCTGGTTGGAATTGAAACCGGAAAAAGGCTGTGGTCCCTTTCTCATTACAAACCAATTCTAAGATATATGGCACAATGTGTCGTACTATGATATTAAACTAGATAACGATAAGTAAGAATTATGGTGTATAAGCACGAACCAATTCATTTTAATAGTTAAAGAAATCGTTGTTGTTTCTAGAGGTCAAGGGTTCGATCACCAGTGACTGCAGCAGGGTGATTGAACGTTCATTGTTAAATGGTTGAAAGTATATTTAGAACATATAGTACTTATAATCACCTTAACTTAATAAAAAAATATGGTGAATAATTTAATTCTTTAAAGTCTAATTCTTAATATCTATTTATACAAATAGTTATTTGATTACAAATGAAATTTATTTAAAAGAATAATTTTGAACAATTTTATATTATTAACTAAAGAAAAGAAAATAGACTTTCTATTTTTAATCCAATCAAGTTTTTTATTATGCTAAATTAATTCAAGTCAAATTGAATTTAGTGAAGCTTGGTGGATATGTAATGGTAGGCTAAAGAAACTTGTTGGTGTTTTGGTGCATGGCAAACAAGGCTGCCCCATTAGCCAATAAAGCTGTTTGGGAAATACTCAAAGTTAGGGCTGGCTTGCTTGGTCTTGTGTCATCTATTGGGGTACACATAAACAGTTTTGCTGCCAACCCCGGTGTCAGAACAATTATAAAGAATTGGTTTCTGCTTCTCAAGATTGCTTAGGATTACAACAGGATTTTATATATTCAAATAGATTGAGATTATTTTTATTTATTTTTAAATTTATTAACGTATAAAAATAGTGTGACGGTATGCGGCTTACCTTTTAAATTTGGGCGAAAAAGTACCATCAATGGTTCTATAAAAGTTGGTAGAGAGTAGATAAGCTGAACATGATAAATAGTTTGAGAGAGTGTGGAGAGAGTCCTTCCCTTTAATCTTGTACGATGATTTATATGTTTATTATTGGTGTTAATGTTCGATCTAGAATAATGATGGTTATTCGTAAATTGACATATTAAATAGATATAGCTATCAGATAATAGACTCAAATGATAGACTACGTAAGTCACTCAATGATCGCATCAAAAAATTATAACTCGTCGAAAAGTATAAAATTCCAAAGATTTCAAAGATTCTAAGATCAAGCTGTTCAATAGACGGAAAAGTGACTTCCGAAGTTTGATTTAGAGAGTAAATATAATAAATTTAATAGTTTATGTTTTTATATTTCAAAGTTATCGACAAGAATATCAGAATTGGGGGATCTCCTCCTTTCCGATAATTCAGTCTGAGCTTTTACAAGATATTCTACAACAAAAAGGAGCTAGCAGCGATGGCAAATCCCACATGACACTCCAATGTCATGTTAAAATTACAAGTCATTAATATAAAAAGCAAGTCGACCCCACTGGCTATCGTCTTCACCAAAAATGACATTCACGTAGGAGCCCTTTTCACATGGGGGAGCTGGTGATCCAATTCTTCAACACATCAGTTTGTGCTTGTCCCCTCCACTCGGTGCACCCAAACTCAACGCTGCCCTACATGTAAACAGGCAGCCATCACCATATATTTTTTAGCTGTCTCGGGTCCAAACCCACGCGCTTCGCTCGACATGCATCTTAAATCATGGACTCTTGGTGTTGTCGAGGAAGCGCGTGGGAAACCAGCGTTCATGGGATACATGTGGAGCAAACAAGTCCCTACAGCCCAGATATTGTCCCACGAACCAAATAACTATAAAACTAGTTAGCCTGCAAAACAGAATTCCCATTGAATGCACAAGATTTGAAGCAATATTGTTCTTCAGGTGGAGGAATCATTCATCTTTCAAGTAATTATATACATACATTGGTAGCAATGGAAACGAGAGTGGATTACAAGAATGATCTCAATCTCATGGCAACCGAGCTCAGACTCGGCTTGCCCGGTTCGAACGATAAGCCGAGTATCAGAAACAACGAGAGAAGTTCACCCGAGCAGTACCCGAGTTCAATGAATAGTTCTAGCATTACAATATCTGAAAATGATGAACAGGACAGTCCCCCTCCTGCCAAGTAAGTACACACATATATGTTCCTTATATAGAGAGTTTAGCTGATGGTCATGAATAAATGCAGGGAACGAGTAGTTGGGTGGCCACCGATTCGGTCATACCGGAAAAACCGTTTACAAAACGCAAAAAGAAGCGGAGGTGAAGCGACGGGGATGTATGTCAAAGTGAACGTCGACGGAGCTCCTTATCTCAGGAAGATCAATCTCAAGGTTTACAAAAGTTATTCTCAACTCCTCGAGGCTTTGGAAAAAAAGTTCAAGCTCACCATTGGTAAGCATCAATCATTTGTTTTGAGGGAAAAATGGGTTAAATCAATAGTTTATGATCTCTTCTTTGGTCTGCAATATTCTAAAAGGTGTACACTCGGAGAGGGAAGGCTACAATGGATCTGATTATGCTCCTACTTATGAAGACAAAGATGGTGATTGGATGCTTGTTGGAGATGTTCCCTGGGAAATGTTCATTTGCTCTTGCAAGAGACCGAGACTCATGAAGAGATCAGAATATAAGAATACTTAAAGATCGAAATAATTACCCGTGGTTGTCTCTTTATTTTCTGATTTTAAAGAATATGAGAATACTTAAAAGATCGAATCCAAGTGTACAAATTGATATATTATTGCTTTACCATTTTTCCAGGACAAGCATATGTGTACCAAGAAGATTGAATGAAGGATAACTTCATACCTAAGTTTTTACACGTACCTTCAATTTCAGAAGTATTATTGAAGTCATCAACGATTATAACGATTAATTGGACCGTAGGTGCGATGATATACTTGACGGACGAAACCTCGAGTTTCGGTCCAGGATGGCTGGGGCGACGCCAAGAATAAACGAAGCATTCGACTCTAGTATAGAATTAAAGCTAGTGTAGGGTACATATATCTATATTTTTTTAATTAGAATCCGATTTTACCTAAAAAAAAATAAATTTATATATCGGATGTAAATTTTTATCCTAAAAATCAAAACGGATTTCGACTCAAGTGTAACCTCCTTAAACTTGAGTCAATTTGAATGATTATTGAAAAGATATAGTATGCGGATCGAGTTCGATAAATTAAACTCAGTCTAATCCAACTCATGTCTATTATTAGATACAATTTATATTATTGTGTCAATAAAATAATAATTTTACAATCTTATTAGATCAAGATAAACAAATCTTATCATATAATAGACCCCTCAAGTTTAGGTATAAATATTCATAGGACCGGCACGCAAGGAGCTGAGTGAACTCCTGCTCAGGACCTCCGATTATATATTTCACAGCTAGGGTTGTTTATTTCATCCGAAATTAATAAGCCGATTAAATCAACTTTTAATTTGAAATTTTATATTCAGATTGAGTTGAATCTTTTAACGGTACGATCAGATCGAGTCAATTTTAGATTTAGGATAAAAAATTTAAGCTGATTCAACATAATATTATAATTATTTATTACGTAAATATTACAATAGTACTTTAAGGATTTGAAAGCGACGGTGAAACCAGCCACCCTCCCACGGCCGCCCACCATCTTTTTTCCCGTCGTCCGAACGACTTCAACATCCATGGCAACAAGCACTTCGCGCACACACATATATATATATATAACAATATAATATCAGCTTTTCTAATACTTCGGCATTCCATTTCCTATGAAAAATACATTGTTACAATATAATATCAGCTGTCATTTTTTGCAGGTCCCTCAATCCACTAACCCCAAAAAATGTGCTCTTCCATCATTCTCCACTATCTTCTTCCCCCACCTTTTTTGCTACAAAAAAGAAGAGCGTGTCAATTGAAACTTTGACAATCCTTCCCCTTTACTCGAACTTGTCAACCCATCAATTGCCTGCTTCTCGTTTCTTTTAAGCATTGACATCAAACCCTGTTTTGAAATATTTTAACACAAGCTGAAAAATAAAGGCAAAGAAAAAAGCTATGGCTATGGCATCCGACTTTGATTGCATTTTAAAAAGGCAGCCAAACTAGTTATTTGTCGTCATCGGGGGCTGTTAGAATAGGACAAATAAAGGGTTTGATGGAGGACTGTCTAGGACGGAGGATTTGTATCCGGATTGACAACAGAGGAGGTATCTTGTAGTTGCGTGTGGTAGATGGTGGTGGCGAGTGAGATGGGCATAATGCAAAGAGATTTGATTGGGGAAATTGCATGGCAGCTGCAACGTTTTCTTCCATGAGCTTGGCTACTTGTTGCTCTGTGCCGTCGTTTGACCACTTCTACCATGCTGGTTGGCTTCTCCCACCCTCACTGCTTTCGTACTGATGATTAATATAGGAAGCTCGATTATCTTAGGATAGAAAATAGATATGAATTGTTCAATACGTGCATGATTACTTGTTTATCACTCTACAGATGATATCAGGATGTCGTTACAAGCGTGCCACTGCACCAGCTCCGCCCAACCTACTCATGGCTCAAAACCTGTTAAACATCAAATTTAGTACGACCCATGAGGAGAGAATTCTTTCAAATGGAACATGCCCTGACATATTTGCAGGAAAACTTCCGAAATTATATGGCACATCCATCAATAAATTATAGCAGACCGATTCAATGGGCATGAGCAGTGCTATGATATGCAGTAAAGTATGAAAATCAAACATTTAAAAAGTGTGAATGATACCTTAACTTGGAGTCTCAGGAACTTCATATAATCTACGATTTCATCGAGCATGACTGCTCTATCAGTCTGTACAAAGGAACACTCGTCACTACTAAACAGAGTTGCATGCCTTATAAGTTAGACTTTACCATGGTTTACAACCCAAGACAGACAAATCTACCCTAAAGACGCACACATCAATGCGACCCCTGTAACAATATGTGCAGGCTATTTAACAGACAATAAAGTTCGCTTGGAAATGAGTCCATGTAGACAAACCCTCAAATAATAAATTCGTTAAGTAATTTCAAAGCCTTCGCATATAAAAGGTTAATCATAAAACTATTGCAAGGTTATACAACAAGATGGAGCAGAGCAACAGTTATGGGCTCATAAGATCAGTGACAGGCAACATTAATCAAAAAGGTGTCTGATATGGAGGGGCTACGGTGGGGGTGGGGTTATCGAAACCCTAATTCCGAACTTTTCGTTTTTTTTTTTTTTTTTTGAGTTGAGCTTTTCGTTTTGTTGAAGGGAAAAAAGGGGGAAGGATTTATTCCTATTATATAACAATTAGAAAATATATTCAATCGCGGGCAATCCTCCAAAAAAATATTTACCAATTGGGTTTTTGCTTTTATATTTTGCTTCGCCTTGGGGCTTGGGCCTCAACTCTCGGGAAGGTTCTGGATTATTCGATTTTATGATCCAAAGGATTGATTTGTTTGAAAAATATTAAACTATGCCTAAATTATATTTTTATTAAAAAAATAACAGCAAAAGCAACACAAATCCAACAAGAAAAAAATTCAACTGACGTAATTCAAAATTTTCCCTAAATATACGTTTTATTTTTCACAAAATTCTAATAATTGTTAATAATCTTTATGATTCTATGTCCATATTGAAAGTTAGATGCAATATTAATGTAGGCATATATGTTTAGAGAATAATTCTAACATATTGTTCCACGAACAATTCTAAATGAAGATTAAAACTAAGAGACGAAAATTATAGGATATCCACTAAAAAAAATCTTAACCGTTTGATAATAATGTCTTTTGTAAGTTGAGCACTCAAACGAGTTCTTAGATACTTCAAAGAAACTTTGATTATGGGCTGGTTATATCTGGAAATGATACACCCTTTCAGCTGGTTGCCTTTGCGGATTAATATAGACCGGCGTTAAATCTCGGGTATTGGTTTATCTTGCTGGCAGCTTGGTCATGTGGAATTCCAAGAAGCAGAAAACGGTTTTTAGATCCACAACAGAAGCTGAGTATAGAAGCTTGGCTGATGTAGCCTCTGATTTTACATGGGTAAGTGTTCTATTGGACAACATGGTAAGCGTTCTATTGGACAACATGGTAGTCGAGCTTCAGGTACACCGATCATCTGGAGTGACAATTCTAGTGTTTAGCTATGAGTAGAGGTGCACAAAAAATTTGAATATCCGATTTTGCGTAAAAAATATCTGAACAGGATTGGGAAAAACTGGTTTTTTTTTAAACCGGATTGAATATAAAAATCGGATTGTATAACCGATTTGGGAAAAATTAGACGATCGGAAGCGTTCTATTGGACAACATGGTAGTCGAGCTTCAGGGTACACCGATCATCTGGAGTGACAATTCTAGTGTTATAGCTATGAGTAGAGGTGCACAAAAAATTTGAATATCCGATTTTGCGTAAAAAATATCTGAAACAGGATTTGGGAAAAACTGGTTTTTTTTAAACCGGATTGAATATTTAAAAATCGGATTGTATAACCGATTTGGGAAAAAATTAGACGATCGGTTTTTTTACCAGATTAAAAACCGATTTGAAAAAAACCGATTTTTATATGAAAAAAATTGGTCTGTGATTTTAAAAACTAGTCGTTAATATAGCCGTTTGGGGGTTTTTGTGATCTTGTTTTCTAAAAAAAATCATCATTTTACCACCCTAAACATATATAAATAAGTTGGTGATGTATTTGGTTGATTACAACTTTCTCAAATCTTATTACACAACACCTAAATATCTCTCAAATCTTATTTTTGTATTTTTTGTTCATCATGGCTACAAACCGGTTTTTTTCAAATCGAACCCGGTTACACCATCTGGCCCTCCAAACTGGTTAGGATCCGAACCGATTTTTTAAAATCCGGTTTTTTGGCTATGTGAAAAAACCGGATCGATTTTTATCCAATCCGGATCGATTTTTATCCAATCCGGATCGATTTTTTATCCGACTTTATGCATGTCTAGCTATGAGCGCTAATCCGGTTTACCATTCAAAAACAAAACACGTGGAGTTGGATGAGCACTTTGTTCGAGAAAAGGCGGCAGCAAACAAGTTAAAGATTAACTATGTTCCTTCTTCACATCAAGTAGCTTATGGCTTTACTAAAGCGTTGTCAAAAGACTATTTTCACATGTTTAGACAGAAACTAGGGGTTGTATCATTAAAAGAATCATTAAAAGAAGTTTTGAAGGTGGAAGAAGCAGGGAGCATATTGGATAGGTTATGAAGAGTTGATGCGCCAGCTCAGCAGGGTTAGTTAGCTTGTTGTAGGTTGTAGCCGTTTGTAACAGATTTCTGTTGAGGCTATTGTGCAAAGCCTTTCTTGTATAAATAAGATGGTAGTGCTCCTGTAAAAATCAGGAGATTAATATACAATTCTATATTCATTGTCTGTGTTAGTTTTCCATTAGTGGCTGTTAATGATCATTCCATGAAAAGTTGGAACAGATAATCACTACAAAAATATGTATCTTTGACCTGAAGGCTTCAAGACAAACGGCTTTACTGTGAACTCTCTAAATGGCAGGAAACACATGCTGTTGTATGAAAACATATTCAGCAAGTAACTTACATGTTGACTGATCAGCACGACAGCAATATCCGTCCTTGTTGTGAACTCTTTAAATGCTTCTTCAATTTGTTTTACAGAGGTCTCTAAAAGGTGAAAGCAAAAGGAATTCTACAAGTGAAAGATAAAGATGATGATATTTACTTGGATGATGATACTACTGTAGTAATAGAAGAAAGAAAGTTGAAGAGCATACTTGAATCCACAATGAGGTAATTTGTCTTTCTCCTCAAGTCAACATTACCCACTCCGGCAAGCAGAAATCCAACCACCGTGTCCTGAAACAAACGAATTACAAATCAGAAAGGTTAAATCAAATGTTGACAACAATCACCGCACTACCAATCTAATGCTCCATAAGGTGTTACCAATAAT